TGAACCCAGGTCCTCTGTAAGAGCAGTCAGTGCTCTTAACCGCTGAGCCATCTTTCCAGCCCCTAAAAAAAGAAATCTTTTAAAATAAAAACAAAACACAGCTCTAAAAGTAAGCCTGAAGGATAGGTGGGAGCTATACTATGAAACACCTTGTGTGCCCTCAAGAACACTGGTCCATCTGAACAGGAAGCAAAATGTATATATGAACCAACCTCAAAACAGAGGCTTTGAGTTTGTGTTATCAGACAATGTCAATGATATTTTAGTCCTATTCCCTTAAAATTATTCTGTATTACCTGATAATTAACTAACCTGCTTTCTTTTTTGATATAGGAGGCTTAGCTGCTTGTTTTAGAATTAAATCTTCAAAAAATTTGGTCCGTTCTTCTTTTCCTGGTAACTGGACGTTAAAAATCTCTCCATAATCATGGATAAACAATTCTTGTACCTTAAAAAGAAAATAAATATAACTTACACAAAATATATAAACACACAATGCATGTTATTGATCACTTAATCCAAGAGAAGGTTGAATTTATTTAATATTAAAAATACACATATTTTTAATTAAAAGTTATATAATTTTGACTTTTAAAGGTCATAAATTAGGTATAAACCATGCATATACATAAGATCATTTTTAAAACTCAAGAATCCAATTATAATGTAGTAACTGATATACTATTTTATTTACAGGGCTTACTGAGGTTATCTAACAACCTGAAGTAAAATGTTAAGACGTGAGAGGGGAAACAAACAAACACACACACACACACACACACACACACACACACACACACACACACACGAGCGCGCAAAACAGATCCCCAGCATGTTTCAAAACAAAGTTCTAGACCTTCCACAGTATTATTACTGTGCATTTTTGGTAACTAGTATATTTCCTATATACTATTGTCCCTAAATTTATTTTTAGAAATTCAAAATAATTTATTCTTGAGATTTTTATTTGAAATTGTAACTTTCCCTCCCTTTCTGGTGACCTGGAAGTTCCATATTGTAGTTCTATCCTTTTAGTGTTACATAACAGACATGTAAGATTTTTTTTTTCTTCTTCTAGCACAGTCACTTTCTTGTATGCTTTTCTTTTTATTTTTTTAAGGTCATGATAGAGATTAAACCACTCTACCACTGAGCTGTAAGTACATGGTCAGATTATTGCTGAAGACACTGCTCAATTTAGGTGCAAGACATAAAGAAGTAAACCTCGAACTAACTAGGAAACTCTCAGCTGGCTAGTTTACAGAGTCAGAATTTATGGACAGCTGGGAGAGAAAACATCAATGGTCTTGCCTAGAGCTGGACCCTGTGTACAACACTGATCTGATGATGGCAAGATGTACCCACTGGTGCAAGAGTGGCATAATGATTATGGGGTAATAATGGGTATGAGGGCTCCCCCACAGGACAGACTTCATGCTGGTACTGAGAAGTCAGTCAAAAGCCCATGACTAGGGAGATCATAGACCTTAGGGAGGAACCTAGTTGTTTTGCTTAATGGTCATACCATAAAACTGAATTCTAAGTTTGTGCCGCTCAACTTTGGTCAGAGAACCTTCTTTATTTTAAAAATTTATTTCATGTGTATGAGTGTTTTGCCTGCATAGATGTAAGTGTACCACGTGTCCAATGTCCATGGCAGAAAGAAAAGGGCGTCAGATCTGCTGGAACTGGAATTATAGATGGTTGTTAGCCACCAAGTGGATGCTGGGAATGGAACCTGGGTCCTCTGTGAGAACAGCCAGTGCTCTTAACCATTGACCTATCTTCTCTCCAACACCCAAAAAAGTTTCTTTATCCAGTGGGTAGCAGTTAATGCAAAGATTCACAACTGTTTAAAGTGTTCAATATAAATAACTCTCTGAATGGGACAATTTATATCAACCTCCCACTATCTAAAGGTCAGAAGAGTTATTGGCAGTTGATGGCTGCTGAAGTAGGGAGTTACTCTTCCTTGAGAACATGGCTGCTGGTAGGTTGCTCATACCCCAGTGTATGACCACCCACACATGCACATATGGGCAGAATTAATTAGACTTAAGATTATTAACAATTTTTTTTTTTTTTTGTCTTTTTGAGACACGGTCTCTTTGTAGCCCCAGCTGTCCTGGAACTCACTATGTAGACCAGGCTGGCCTTGAACTCACAGAGATCTGCCTGTCTCTGCCTCCCGAGTGCTGGGATTAAAGGTGTGTGCCACCATGCCCGGCTAGCAATTTTTTAAAAAGGATATGCTGTTGAGATGGTGGGGGGCACAAGGAGTAGGTAATGTTGAATAGGTATGATTAATCTACATTGCATCAATATATGAAACTTCAAAGAATAAAAATATTTTTAGTAGCTTGTCTTTTTACAAAAGATTTTTTTCTGGGGGTGCAGATCAATGGTAGAGTATGTGCTTGATGTGTACAAGGTCCTGGGTTTGATGTCTGACACCAAAATACAAAGTTCATGCTTGTTGCCAAAAGCATAAATTCATTATATTTAAAATCTCAAAATGGCTAAAAGTTTTGACAGTGAATAAGACAACCACACAATACAGCAATTCATTAGTGATCCTAGCTGGGTGGGGCAGCTTATGCCTATAATTCCAGCAGTAAGCACATCACCCCAAGTTTGGAACCAGCCTGGATTACAGTGTCTTAAAAAAAAAAGAAAAAGCAGCAGTCCATCTTAATTGTGTTAATCAGAGCCTTGTTTGTTTTCTGTATTCATTCTGACAATGGCCTTTTAAAAGAAACGAACAAGACATTCAGACAGTAACTAGAATTTTAAAGACAATACAACTAGGTATGATATGTGGAGTCTGCTATTTCTACTATCTTCTTTTGGGTGCACTGTTATGCCACTTCCTAGACTCCTTTGAAGTGAGGTATTTTGACTAAATTTTAGCCAATGGAATATAACAGAAAATGATCTCTCATATCTAACAGCTAGGCTTTTCAGCTGGTTTGACTGAAAGCAACGTGCAAGTCACATGTGAAAAATAAGAAAAACTTCTCTCAGCTTAAGTATTTCCCAGCATTTTGGGAGGCAAGGCAGGAGGATCTCTGTGAGATCAAGGCCAGCCTCATCTACATAGCCAAGTTCCAGGCCAGAGCCTGGGCTACAAGGGGACCTTGTCTTTTAAAAATATTAAAAAAGATAAATAAGCTAGGGGAAGCAAGCCAATAGAGTGTTCCTCCAAGGTTTATACTTTAGCTCCTGCCTTGTGTTTGTGCCGTGATGTCCCTTCATGGTGGGCTGTGATTTGGAAGTATAAAATACAATAAACCCCTTCTCCCACAAGTTGTTTTTGTTCAGTGTTTTATCACAGCAACAGAAAACAAACTAGAACACCTAACAGTAGAAAGCACACTAGAATCCCTAACATCCATCTAGGTCTGATCTCAAGTATAAAACACACACACACACACACACAATAAAAGACTATTCAGCCAAAAATGGTGGCACATGCCTGTAATGACAACTCAAATTCAATCCCTAGAACCCACAGTGGAAGAACTGATTCCTCCAAGTTTTCCTGAATTCCCTACATAAGCCATGGCATGTGGATGTCCACAGCTACAACAGTATTAACAATAAAGTTAAAAGAGTACTTGAATACACAGAACTGTCATTACAAAGGCATATTAGGGTCTATGTGCTATCTGGGAAACAAATGGAGATTAAGAAATTGTAGGCCCCAAATAAACTGGATTTTCAGGAAAGCTAACAGAATTCTGTATTTAAGTGTGTTTCAAAGTGGTATACCCACATAAAGGAGAGGCTGTAAAGGAATCCTGAGCTAGATAAACAAGAAACATGAAAGGACCCTCCCCACCCAGAGGCTATAACATAATTCTTTTCCTAGCTTATTAAATGCTCAGGTTTCATTATCAATTATTAAAAGAGCCACCAGGGGAATAATCTGACCCTTTCCTAACTCTGTGACCTCATTCTTCTAGCCTTACCCCTCACACACATTGTGCTCTAGCCACCTCTAAACTTTTTGCTATTTTTCTAACATGAGTTTTGCCGCAGGGCCTCTTGCCAAGAATTTTTGTCCCTCAGACAGTCAAATAGTTTCACTAGCTTTCCTTTCTCAGGTCTTTGTATAGATGTTATGTTCTCACCTGGGCTTTACAGAGACTGTTTAATATCATAACTTACCCATGTTTAGTATGTTTTTCAAATAAACCTTTTGATTTATTTTTATGTGTATGAGTGTTTTGCCTGCATGTAAGTGCATCTATGTCATGCAATGCCACAGAACCCTGAACAATATGTTGTATAATGCCCTATTTGTTAATAGAAAAAAAGTGTTTTACCACATAAATTCTAAAACCGTAAGCACAGGCCAAATAGTTAACAAAGAAATATCTGAGAAAACTATTTCTTAGTGTTTCATTTACTTCAGTAGCACATAAAATTTCACATTAAGTTGTTTTTACTTTGGTACAAAGAACACTTTTTAAAGTACAGTGATTTCTCCCCCATAAATCACCTCTTCCGGCAGAGCAGAATGTGGTTTGTCAGAAGTTGCGAGTAATAAAACTGGAGCAAATGAAGGGATATTCTGCAGTAATGTGATAAATGTGGCTTTGAGCGTTGGTCCAACAATTTCCCACCACAAGTGGATATGTGGAACATAGACTATACTTGGTGCTGTTCTCTTAGCTTCACGAATCAGCTAAGAAAAAAGAAAAAAAAAATTTGTTTCAGAGTCAGCACATAAATGCTAGTTTTATTAGCCTAATAAGACAATGTTTAACTTCTCAGAATTTTCATAGAAAAACCTTTGTATTATTTTAGATGATTCTCCCCCTCAAATCTTACAACTTTTAAAATGTATTTTATTAAAAAGTTTCATACTGGAGAAAATAATTGCTTCAGGTAACTAGTTAAAAAAGGCCAAGAAATCTAGAAAAAAAATGTGTAGTTGTAACAAGTTAAACAAATCTATAAATATAAATAGTATTGCATAACTAAATAGAAATATAGCAATATAAACAGCAGAATATTAGATTACTTACTAAGGAGAAGTCATTGCTTAAGTACTTCAATTTACTTATCAGCGAAATTATCTATTTTGAAAATAAAAAAAAAAAAAGCAGAGAGCTCTAACAGGTTTTCTAAGGTTATGCAAATATTAATTAGTAGATGTAAAACTTCTATTTAATAACTAAGCAACTATGCAAAGTTCTGTTTTGTAAACTTTAAGTAAGAAATCAGAAAAAGAAAAATACAAAAAGCACTGAGTGAGGCAGTTCTAGATTTTGTCTCTGGAAGACTGATTTATCTTACAGCTTATTGAACTGGAGAACAAATTACCTGAGAACATGTCTCTTCAGGAGATGTAGTACTGACACCAAAAAGAACAGGAATGTCTAATGTATAGACAGTAAATTTTTCCAAAGCATGGATAACAGCTGGTGCCAAGTGGGAACCCTGTCCAAATCCTGGTTCTCCCACTATCAATATTCTTGGTCGAAAAGACATAGGTTGGTAACAGGCATTTCTGTAAGAAATAATAAGCTGCATTTTAGAAAAAATTAAAATGCTTTCCCTAAATTACCAAATACAAATCTTTCAGACATCTTATCAGTTCAACAAGCCAACTCTAAGATGGTTCATAACTTACATATGATAATGACTTCCACAGATTTTTTAACTGCAACAACAAATTTTTGATATATTTTAAAAGCTGATTTCTAGTACCCACATGGTAGCTACGAACCGTCCTTAACTCTGGTTCCAGGGGACTCCGAAACCCTTTTCTGACCTCTGCGGCATTGCATGACACAGGTGCACTCATATACACTCAGGCAGGCAATACACTCAATACACGTTAAATAAAAAAAATTTTTAAATTAATGTTAAAAAACAATGTGTATGTTTGTGTATATGCAAGTGGGTGCATGTGTAAGCCAGAGGACAAACTCAAGAATACCATCCACCTCTTTCCAGACAAGGTCTCTCTCTGGCCAGATTGCATGGTCAGTGAGCACCAGAAATTATCCCTGTCTCTGCTTTCCCAGCACTGGGATGTCAGGGGCCTAAAACCTTGCCTAGCATTTTTACATGGGCCCTAAGGGTTGAATTTAAGTCTTCATGTTTGAAAGACAAGCACTTTACCCACTGAGCCCTTTCCACAGTCCCGATCTTTTAACAAATAAAAGATTGGCTAGCATCTTTTATTGTGCTAAACAAATCTCACCTATTTTTATGGAATTTACACAACAAAATATTCATCTGCAAGGAAAACATACCTGTTTAAATGAAGAAAACTTAAACTTTCTTTTGCCTTATTTAAGAGCTTTGGAGAAGGTCCATTTTCATACACTGATGGTACATCATCATCACTGTATGCCAAATCACTTTCTAGCAGAGGGCAAGAAACATCTACAGAAAAAAAGCTGCACATTAGTAATTTTTCTTTATGTCATATTTCACTTCTTTCAATGGTCAATCAAGTTTTATACCTGAATCTAAAGCTTTGCTTGTTCCAATTTCCACATGTGGAAATACTTTTTGTAGGGCTTCTAAGATCTTGTGAACAGTGCTTTGCAGAAGTGGTTTCACAATGGTGGGTAGTGCCTGTCCAGGGGATGTCACAGCCCTCTGGGAAGCTGGTACTATCTTCCGCATAGCTACCTCAAAATCCTTAGCTGAGATAGTTATTGAAGAGAGATCCAATTGCAGCTTTTCACTGGTGGTATAGATTTGTGGATAGCGTCGACGTAGGGCACATAAAGCAGCTTCAGCACATATTGACTTAATATCAGCACCACAGTATCCTATTCAAAACAATCAGAAAGAAAAAAAAAACCCAACCTATTAACATGGTCATGAGTAAAAGAAGAATGTAAAAATTAACCTAGTCACATAGTAGTAAATGTATATAGAAGCAACAAAACCCAATCTCTTACAAACCATCAGCAAATCAGAAACTTCTGAGTGAAATACACAAGCATTAAGAAAAATGGTTAAGCACAAGTTTTAAAAATCAGACCAAGCTCAAATTCTAGTCTGTTACTATGTGATTTTAGAGACTCCTGCTTTGCACACGATTCTTTATTAGAGATCATGCTACCTTATTCATGGGGCTATCACTACTGTCATGTCTACATTGTTCTTAAATTCCTCCAATGGCACATATGTGTGTGCATGCGCACATATATATATAGTCTTTTTCAGACAGGGTCTCCCCTTAGCCCCAACTGGCCTGGAACTCACTATGTAGACCAGGCTGGCCTTGAATTCACAGAGATCCGCCTGCCTCTGCCTCCCGAGTGCTGGAATTAAAGGCGTGCCACCAGGCCTGGCCCTATCTACCTATTTTTTAAAGATTCATTTTAATTATATATATATGTCTGTGGGGGGGGGCGGTGCGCTTGAGTGCAGGTCTTATGAAGGCCAGAAGAGGGTGTTGGAGCCTCTGGAGCTGGAGTTCAGACAGTTATGTGCTGCCTGACACAGATGCTAGAAATCAAACATGGATCCTCTGGAAGAGTAGTATGTGCAGTTAATAGCTGAGCCATCTTCCTTAGTTTGCTATCTGTTGCTCTGATAACACATTGACCAAAAAGTAATTTGGAGAGGAAAAGGATTTATTTGGCTTTTATGTCCTCATCACAGTACATCATTGAGGACAGCCAGGACAGGAACTCAAGGAAGGAACCTGGAGGCAGAAGCTAAAGCAGAGACTTCCATGCAGGCAAAATACTCATACACATAAAATAAAATCTTTTAAAGTTTTTTTAAAAAGTTTTAAATGTTTTATTATCATATGATGTGTATATGTGCATGATGTGTATATGTGCACATATGCTACAGTCCTTATGTGGAAGCCAGAGGACAATTTTGTGGAATCAGTTCTCTCTTTCCATCTTTATGTGAGTTCCAGAGGGACCAAAGTAACTCAAGTCACTAGGCTGAAGCAGCAAGTACCTTTATCTGTTCAGACATCTCATGATTCTTTAAATGTAATTTTAAGGCAAGATGTCAACTTGTTACAACTCTGAGGTGAATGTAGTATTTCTTATAACTGCTTAAAACAATAGTTACCAACACAGTTTTCTGCTAGTTCTTCTAGAAATATGTCCAGTGGTTTTGGATTCCAATCTCTTGTGTGAATCTTCAGAATCTCTTTTCGAGCCTATGAATAAAACAAACTTTAATTTTTGACAGCTATAATCATAAAGTTATGAATATTAAAAGTTGAATTGAAACTACTTTTGATTATCTAAAATTTTAAAGTAATTAAAATATAAATAGAAGTACGAAACAATGAAATTGAAGGAAAAGATATATCTGTAATCATTTAACAAAACTGACCAGATTTGCATTTATACTGCCCAAGTTATAGTCACCATTAATGATGAAGAAATTAAAAGTAGCCGGGCGTGGTGTCACATGACTGAAAGCCTAGTACTTGGGATGGAGAGGCAGTTTCCAGACCAGTTGGGGCTACAGGGAGCCCTGTCTCAAAAAATATGTATATATAAAAAACAAACAAACAAAAAAGAAATTAGGTAAAGTACTGCTCACCCTGGAATACATGAAGAGTACTGATAGTCCTAGTCATACTTTCCTTTTTTAAAGATTTCGATTACGTATATGTGTCTGTGTGGTTAAGTGCATATGAGTGCAAGTGCTCTTGGAATCAATCCATGGGTGCTGGGGACCTAACTTGGGACTATGTAAGAGAGCAGGAAGCACTCTTAACCACTAAGCCATCTCTTTAGCACCTTTAATTCCTATTTTTTTATGTGCTTCTCAAAAGCAGTAAGTGGCTTTAACTTAAAAGGTTAGAATTGTAATTATATAATGGTATTCAGGAAGAAGTCAAAGCTAATAAACTGACTAAAGGATTGCTCATTAAGTCACTAAAATAAAATTGACAATATTGCAAGGATGTGCTTAAATTGAAATAAATTGTGTGTGTGCGTGTGTGTTTTTGAAACGGTCTCCCTGTAGTCCCAGATGGCCTAGAACTTGCTATGTAGACCAGGCTGGCCTCTAAGTCACAGAGATCTGTCTGCCTCTGCCTCCCATGTGCTGGGATTAAAGGCATGCACCACCAAGCCCGCTGAAATAATTTTTTTTTAAGATGAAAAAAATTGTATGTCGGGGCTGGAGAGATGGCTCAGTGGTTAAGAGCATTGACTGCTCTTGCAGAGGACCCGGGTTTGATTCCTAGCACCTACATGGCGGCTACGAACCGTCCTTAACTCTAGCTCCAGGGAAATCCGAAGCCCTCTACTGACCTCTGCAGCATTGTACAACACAGGTGCACTCACATGCATGCAGGCAATACACTCATACACATAAAAATAATAAAGCCAGGCATGGTGGCACATGCTTTTAATCCCAGCACTTGGGAGGCAGAGGCAGGTGGACCTCTGTGGGTTCGAGGCCAGCCTGGTCTACATAGTTCCAGGACAGCTTGGGGCTACAGGGAGACCCTGTCTCAAAAAGACAAAAATAAATAAATAAAATAGTAAAAAAAAAAATAATAAAATTGGCTGGGCGAACTGGCGCATGCCTTTAATCCCAGCACTTGGAAGGCAGAGGCAGGCGGATCTCTGTGAGTTCAAGGCCAGCCTGGTCTACATAATGAGTTCCAGGACAGCTGGGGCTACAGGGAGACCCTGTCTCAAAAAGACCAAAAAAATAAAAAAGTATGTCTATGAGTGTTTTGCCTGTGTGTATGTAAGGGCATCACATGCATGACTGGTGCCCAAGGAAAGCAGAAGAGAACAGAAGATCCCCTGGAACTGGAGTTAAGGACATATGTTAGCTGCTCTGTGAGTGCTGAGAACTGTACCCAGGTCCTGTGGAAGAGTAGCAAGTATTCTTAACTGCTGAACCATTTCTCCAGCCACAAAATGAAAGAATTTTAAGAGCAATTGGAGGGACAGAGGATATTATACTTAGCAAATTATCTCCCACTGAGATCTTTTGAACATCACTAGGATCATGATATAAACCTCGAGTCTTAAAATTTTCACAGTATCAAAACATGGCTCAACAGTTGCAACTAAGCCTGACAGAGTTTGATCCCCAGGACCCACAGAACAGAAAAGACTCTTGACATGTGCATACTGGTACATACACTCTCACCCCAAATAAATTTAACTTAAATTTCTTTAACTTAAAGAAATTGTTGATGACAAAAGTAATATATTTAAATTTTGAGTGATGTTAAATTCTTACATCTTTATCAGGTAGGCTAAAAAGGAATTCTCTGTCAAAACGACCAGGCCTTCGTAAAGCAGGGTCTATGGAATCTAGTCTGTTGGTGGCTCCAATAACCACAATTTCTCCTCTGCTGTCCAAACCATCCATGAGAGCTAACAGTGTGGAAACAATAGAACTAAAGATAAAAATAAGAAAAGAAATTAGTATATCAATTAGTAATAGTCCTTCTTTTGGTAAGATTTAATGTATAAACATGCAAATGAATTTTCTTATATTCAATGAACTATAACAAAACAAAACACCAGGGAGCTAGATGGATGGCTCAGGGGTTAAGGGCTTTTGCTGAATGAGCAAGGACCCAGTTCAAATTCTCCAGCACCCATGTAAAAGCTAGGTCTGGCTGAATATGCATATAATCTTAGCAGAGACAGGCAGATCCGAGAGTCCGCTGGCCCACTATCCAGTCTAGGCCAAACAGTAAGATTCAGGTTCAGTAAAAGACATTGTCTCAAAAAATAAGGTGAGGGCTGGAGAGATGGCTCAGTAGTTAAAAGACTTGCCTTTTAAAGCATGAGTACAGGACTGGAGTTCAGGTCCCCAAATTCCCACTTAAATGCCAAGTACACGGGGCAATCTGCTTATAATTCCAGTCCCAGAAGCTAGAAACAGGATCCCAGAGCAAGCTCCCTAATGAGAATCCCCACATTAGGGGATCTGGAGAGTATTGGGTCAAAAAGACCCTGCCTCAGTGAATAAAGTGAAGATGATTGCCAACATCAACCTCAAGCACTCCCCATGTGTTGGAATAAGCATCAGAGTCTATACACATGCAAATATGCACACACACACACACACACACACACATACATACATAGAAATGAAATCAAGGAGTGGGAATGTAGTCCTAAGCTCAATCTCCAGAACCAAAAAAGACTGAAATCAACTGAAAACGTAAATGATCCTTATAGCCATAAATGGGTGCTACAAGCCATTTCATACAGCATCATTTCAGAGAAATTTCAAAGTTTCAAATCAAAGATACAACACTAAAAAAATTTACTAGTTCTATATAGAACAGATTATTTAAAAATTATAAAACATACTCTTTTATGTACACTGTCAAACAAATGGAATAAAAATAAAGAATATACAAAAGAAATATAATATCCAAGACAGTTCAAAGTGATGATGGTACTGATATTGAAGTTGGTTCTAAGAATAAAGAAATGATCTTCTAAAAGCATACGTAGCCAGGTGTGTTTGTATACACCTTTAATCCCAGCACCTGGGAGGTGTAAGCAAGTTCTAGTCAGTTCCAGCAAGGGCTGCGCAGTGAAACCCTGTCTAAAAAATAAACAAAACCCCAACAAACTAATTTAGATTCAGGGTGGGACTGAGGCTCTGGGAAAATTATTTTCTTGACTAAGCAAACATAAAATTTTCTTATCTGTAAAATGAGACTGTTTGGCTGTCATCAGTATATGAAACCAGTAGTGTCACTCTAAGACGTATTTTGTTTCGCCTAGGCAGTTTAAAAAGCATCTGAGGGTTAGAGGTTTTTTTCAGAGGTAGACCACTCAAGGTTCAGGGTTCAGTCCCCAGTACTTCAGGGGATTAAGAAGGGGGAAAGCATCTGAATTAGTTGGCAACAGTTGAGATATTTTAAAATTTAAGATAATCTAATTCTCAGGTGTTAGTTGCAGACAAGCTGGAACTAAAGATAACTGGCTATGCTCTTCTACCAGGTCATTTAGTATATCCCACAGCTCAGCCCTGTTCTTATCTTCGGCCTAAGAATGTATGCTTGTATCCTGAATTCAATCTTCTGTAACCAAGACCTTAAAACTGCATGAAAACACCCTGATTCCCTGAATAGGTTCACTTTTTCACTATATTTTAGGATTCTATTACCAAGAACTGGTTTGTAAAGTTTCTTTCACCATTTAACACTTTTACCCTTCATATAACAGCAATATAGCTCAGAATATTTAAGAAATGTAAAATTATCATCAAGCAAGTTTTACCTGTGAATTTGATCTTGTCTGCTGGACCGTACTGGAGCCAGACCATCAATTTCATCAAAGAAAATAATTGATGGGCGCATCTGATAGGCCTAAAAGAAGGTTCAGTAGCCCCATGTTATCACAGAAAGCCTCAAATAGATTTAATGTAAAGCATTTTAATTGAGGGGCCTAGTGGCACATGTCTTTAATCCCAGCAGAGATTAAAAGGCAGAAGCAGGTGGATCTCTGTGAGTTCTACATCAGCCTGGTCTACATAGCCAGTTCTAGGCCAGCTGGGGCTACAGGGAGACACTGTCTCAAAAAGACCAAAAAGAAAAAGGCATTTTAGCAGGTGTGGTGGTGGTGGCACATGCCTTTAGTCCCAGCACTTGGGAGGCAGAGGCAGGTTGAACTCTGTAAGATCAGGACCAGCCAGGTTTACATAGTGAATTTCAGGCCAGCTGGGGTTACAGAGAGATCCTGTCTCAAAAAAAAAAAAGAGAAAGAGAAAAAAAGAAAAAGGCATTTTAATCCATTTCCATTCAAACTTACTATATAAATGTAATTTGGGGCTGGACAGATGGCTTAGCAGTTAAGAGCACTGACTGCTCTTGCGGAGGACCTGGGTTAGATTCCCAGCACCCACATGGTGGCTATGAACCGTCCTTAACTCCAGTTCCAGGGGAATCCAAACCCCTCTTCCGACCTCTGCGGCATTGCACGACACAGGTGCACTCACATACATGCAGGCGATACACTCATACACATAAAATAAAAAAATTTAAAAATCAGAACAGATAGCTTTTCAATCTGTTTTCATTCGGTTTTGTTTGCTACAATTTGTCATTTATAATTATTTGTAAGACTAAACGTAAGTTCCAAGATCTATGCTTATATTAACATAGTTAATTTTTATTTGCATTATCAACTATAAAGAGCCAAGATATTCCAATGGTTGTACACACCGGATTTAATATAGCTATAGTTACTGGGACACAGAAAAACATTTATTAGAGGCTAACTGTGGAAGCAAAGATTGTCTTCCTCCATGTCAGGATAGAAAAACATTTCTCATCAAAATACCAAACATGGAAAAAAAATCTGTTTCAGAAAGGATAAAGTCCCTAAGTTCTAAAAAGGGATTTAAAATCATTTTCAGGAATATGTCTCAGTAGAACAAAATGTATTATTTCACAATGTACTGTCAATACAATCTGGAATATGAAGCTAAAAGCTATTCTAGGGCTGAATTGCATTCAGTTATCTATATTATGACATAATCCACTATTATTAAAATACTCAGGACAAGACTATTATCTTACTAGATGTGAATCCTAATTACTGTAAGAGCTTATATTCAATTATATCTTTTGTAGCAATGTAAAATTGTTTGCTGTAGGTCAGTGTTAAAAATGTTGACATACCAGTCAGGCATGGTGACACACACCTTTAGTCCCAGCACTTGGGAAGCAGAGGCAGGTGGATCTCTGCGGGTTCAAGGCCAGCCTGGTGTACACAGCGAGTACCAGGCCAGCTGAAGCCACAGGGAGATCCTGTCTCAAAAAAAAAAAAGCACTCGGGAGGCAGAGGCTGGTGGATCTCTGTGAGTTCAAGGCCAGCCTAGTCTACACAGTGAGTTCCAGGACAGCTAGGGCTACAGGGAGACCCAGCCTCAAAAAGACCCCCCCCA